GTGTACACGAGTAATTTCTTTGTGTTAATACATGTATTAATAGTCGTTTGTTTTAAAATTTAGTTTTTGTTATTTTATTTTTACCCGCAGTCTGCCAAATATTATTTGTGGGACAAATACACCAGGAGCCATTAAATGTTTACTGAAGAAACAACTATACTCTTCAAAATAAGTTGTGAGTCCTGCAACAAGTTATAATAGCAAAATTCAGTATAAACACTGTGTCATTAACCGAGTCGTACGCTTTTTAGTACGATGGACAAATTGTTTGGATAAAACGCTTAAAAATAATATGCAATCTGATTAAGCGAACTCACTTCTGATGTGCTTGGGTCGAAACAGAAAATAAATAATTTATATTCATTGACATAAAGAAATGTTTGTTAAAGACTTGGCAGATATAACTTTAGCATTTATATTTATTTGCAAAATTGATGATAGTTTAGTTTATGTTTCCTGCACAATGAGGCAATTTGATATTTTTTCTAATCCTTTATGAAGTCGATTTTTACCTGATAGCCTTCCACTCGACCTTTCATTACTTCTCGTGTATCAGGAACTGGATCCCATGTCACCATCATTGCTGTTGCATTGTATGTATCAGCGAATACGTTGTTAGGGACGCCGACAGGCACTATAGAGCAATGACAGAAAAAAGGTTTTAAAGATTAAAGTATAAAAATGGCAATGGAAATAAAAATAACAATGCAAAAATTAGGCAAGTGTTGGATTGTCCCACCTTGTCTGTCATGTAACTTCTCTTAACTCGTTAGGTGGCATTGTATTTAGTCGTATAAAAGAAAAGGACAAACCTTCTTGCTCATTCACACACAGATGGAACTGGTTTTCCCCCGAGAATACATCTTTTCACAGGCGAACCAATTTTTTTTATTCAGTTGAATCACGTGGCGCATCACAGATAAATATATACATGGTGCAGCAGAAATACCTCCCAGTAATGGTAAAATATTAGTCGCAATGTCTTTATCTAGCTAATGTATTACCATTATGTGGAAGGTATTTTACCATGTATATTTCTATTTTCTGAACTATGTTGCCCTGTATATAAATGTATAAAAAAATACCCATGTATGTTTTGAATTCATTCATTTTAAAAGTTTCCATCAGCAGCCATTAATTTTACTAACTCCCTTTCTGCTATATGTGTGACTAGGCATTTAATAAATAGCTATGACCTAGTGACTTCGAGGGTAACAAAAAAACAAAAAAGAAACTGTTTCAATAGTAAAATGCACAATTTTTTTTACTCGCATCTCCTTCAAAACACTGGCGACAAGTATATACAGAGATCAGGAATTACAGACTTCTAACAAAATCACATTTTCTTGTATACATTTATAAAAATACAAGAACAGAATGTATGAGAATGCGATCCTTAATTTTCAGGAGATTTGTCTTCATACAAATACCGACATTTAATTTAAATAGGCAGCAGACAACATACGATTAGGTGTGTGTGTGAGAGAGAGAGAGCTCAAATTATGGAGAAGGTTGGTACACGAATACATGGCTTTTTATGATCCAGTCAACATTGTGTTATTTCTTGTCAACATAATTCTTTAAGTAATGGTCTGTATATTATTATTTTATGTGCGATGTCTCCACAACTTCCTATCGTTTGTAACTCTTAGTAATGTCTTCATCATCCTTCTTATTTTTGCGTCTTGTAAGATTCCCCTCTTTCGTCATGGAATGGTTTTCAAATATATTTGTTTCATCTTTGAAGCGTTTTTTCACTTGTCGTTCCCTCTTTTTATTGTATGCATCCTACCGATGAGCATATCCTTTGTCCTGTTATTTCTTATACATATCTACCATATCAATGAGGTTCATTCTTTCTCCAGGACACACTTTTCGTTGGGTCATTCCTCTTTATAAGTTTAGAAATTATTACATACACCTTAATATTAGTCAAAATAAAAAAAATTAAAATGAAACCGAAATTTACTTCAGTTGAAGAGAAAGTTCTTGGAAATGTGTTTGGTAGTATCAATATATTTAACTTTCGAAAGTACTTACTCCCTTCAGCTGAATAGATTGTATGAGTTGTTGAATTTGGCCCCATTCCTAAATTATTGAATGCTTGAACTTTAACCTCATACTCAAGATAAAAGTTGCGTCCGACAAAGGCCACGAAGAAATCGGCGTTTTTCTTCAAAATTTTCTGTAAGAAATACAAAATCAAATATTCATAAGTAGATTTATCTAATTGTTTAATAACTTACTTGTTATAAAAACATTTTAAACATGTTCTAAACTAAATGAATTAATAAGTACTGAGAAAACTAAATTCGCAAAACATCGATTGTGGGATCCATACCACTTTGTTCATCCTGCAGAAATTTCAAATTTTGAGAAAATTCTTAACGAGTAAAAGGAAAGAATCGTCTGATTTGTTTGAAGACTCGATTGTATCTTAGCCATTTGAACAAGTCATATTATGTCTACATAATATTTTAGGTCGTCCATAAATAGGCTAAAATTCACATACCTGTAATCCATCTCTTCGTTTTATTTTGATGGTGACAATATACTTGTGATCAAACCTCCCAGCCGTCTAGAATTTGGAGTCAATGCTTTTTCACTAATTAGCATATAATTCAATTACAGAACCAGATTGGAAACCATCTGTTATTTACCAGAAAATTGGATCACAAACGAAATCTATATATAAAATTCTGTTACTTCCGTTAGTCCGTCTGTCACTCTAAAATAGTAATAGATTGACCAATCTAAACCAATTTTTAGGGAGAAGTGCCAACAGGTAAGGAGGGTACAAATACAGTTGGTTTTAGCAGGGTTTTTGTCAAAGTATTTTCCAAACAAATCAGCTTATTCAAATTTCCTCGATTGTTTTGCGAAATTGAACGAAAGAAAGTTTGTAAATCTCGACAGAAAATGTTAACGATAACTTTAATCCTAAATACTGTGAGGATTTTAAAAAATTCTAGTTCGAGATGAGGTTTGATTTGAATTTTTTCAAATCAAACCTCATCTCGGACAAGGACAGCGTAACAATAAACGTCACTTGTTACTTGCCCAAATGTAATTCCAAAAGAACCTGGTGCCTCAGGTTGCGCCTTTCCTCTCTAAGAGGGTAAAGATAAACTATTCTCTGAAGTCAAAAGGCAAAGCCGATAGAACTAGATCTTGTCCTCTCCACCCCGTACATATGCGTGGGGTTCCCACTTAAAAAAAAAGGCCATGTGTCACATTCTAAGTGAGAAAGCAAACAAATACTTATTTAGAACTCTCCTCATCTCAAGTATCTTTACAGTTTGGTATGTTTCAATGAGATGATTATAGTTGCTTTATAACCACGAAAGAAAAAGTTGCTTGAATGGAAGAAAAAATAAGTTGTGCAAGTAAATCTTTCTGAGTTGATCGTTTAAAATCTCTAAAAAGGCTAACTAATGTTCTGTTATTTATTCGATGCCTACAAATATAAAACCAATTCCATTGAATCTGGTCATAATACTTTTAACCATTCAATATTCTCCCTTCTTAGAAACCAATTCTTTTTACAAGTCTAATGTATGACATTGTAGTCACTGAATTCGAAAACCTACCAACCTTGGACCATTTTCCATTGCTGCCTTTCAATCTCCAAAAGACATTGTAACCAATTCCAGGGCCAGAACGTTCTGAAGGGTCCAAGGGCTAAAATTCAAGCAACAAAATAACATTGACATGTTCATAAATTGTAAAGCACACTAGTTTTAATCTCAGACATTTTAACAGAAATCTCTAAAAAATAAGAATATGAATACAAAAATGAACTTGGCAATGTTAATGTAAACAAACTTTATAAACAAAGATTTCATATAATATACTATTTCGTAGCTTTTTTTTTTCATTTTGTGGGCATCATATGGGTTTTTCTTTCAAGATATTTCCTCCCATCAATCTCAAGTTTACAAAATATTTACAACTATATTTTATTTTTTATTCTTTTACTTCATTTAATAAAACTTGCCTTGTTTTCCTCGTCTTTTATAATATTCAATAATATAAACAAAATAGATTTTAAGACAATGTCTTTGCATCAATTGGTTGAGTGTACAATCAGTCATTAATTACATTTAATTTAAAAGTAAATGCTAGAACCATGAAATATGCACAACTAAATATTCAGTGCGGGGTTGAGGATATATATTCAGCACAATTTTTTCTGAAAAAAAAATTGTTTTACTTCCAAATCAGATATATATATATATATATATATATATATATATATATATATATATATATATATATATATATATATAATTTATTTTTGTAAATATGGACTTCAATACACGATATTAAACAATAAGAATGGTGCCCTTGTCATATTTAGGAAAGAGACTAGAATAATCCAGAAATAGACGTTCTACCCGGATTCATTATTGACGACCACACTTAACAACATAGGATATACAGATGACAGTGCTTATTGGAGAGAGAGAGAGAGAGAGAGAAAGGAAACTACAGGAACTCCTACAGAAGACAATGAAAGAAAGCGAGAAGAAATGGCTAAACATCAATTGCAAGAAGACAATGTATGATTGTCAGCAAAACGACCAAAATGAAACATGTATAAAAAATTAAATATCTCAGTAGCGTTTTAACAGAAAACGCTGTGTGACATCGAAATGAAAAGGTACATTGGGATAGCGAAAGATACCTTCCAAAATCTAAGCAAAGTAATAACAGGGAAATTTCATTAGAAAAAAAAAGAAAGGAGCACTAGACTTATGTAATATCAGTCCTCCTACATGGCAGTGAATACTGGACAATGTTACAGATGAGGAAAAGACTTTAGGCAACAGAAATGTGGTTCTACAGGAAGATGCTGAGAATACTACGAAGTTTTAGAGAAAATGGAAACAAAAAGGACTCTTATACTTATCAGAAAGAGATCGTTGACAGAGTTCTAGGGCACTTAATGAGAAAAGAGGGCTTCATTTACGGGGCAGAGGAAAACAGCGTATACCCCCCCCCCTGCCTGATGAACTTGTGTTGGCAGAAGAGGGTTTACGAGAGATAGCAAAATGACAAAATTTACTAAGAGCTACAAAGGATAGAAAATTGTGGAGAGTCATAATTGCCAACGTCCTGAATGGACGTGGATCATCGAAGAAATGAATTTAGAAGTTATTGGCAATTTTCTAACATTTTCTCAACATACGTCTTCGTAAGTAAAGCTATAAAAACAAATTTGATTGCTTAAAATAAATTTGAGATTACTAGTTAAAAATATTTGGAAAAAAAATGAAAAAAGGCGTTCACGTTGTATTCATCAAATAGTTTCCTACTTTCTTTCAGTTCTGTTTCCCTTAAATTTGTCAAACTGTGGCAGAGAGCAATCACCCTTGAAATATTAATAATTATAGTAATATAGAATTTTGTTTATAGATGAGAAAGTTAATCTGTGGTGAAGTTTGTGCCCAGAGAATCTGTGCTTCGTCAGAATTATTGATATAAAATGTTAAAACAATACTATGGAATATCAACTGAGAAGAAGATACTGTTCATGTAATCGTGAAGGGGGAGAGGTCAGTAATCAGGTTGTATTCTAAGTTACCAACACCCCGGGTTTTTGTCGCTACCACCGCGTTTATTTAAGCGCGTTTGTGCGAAAACAAATAGTCGAAGTCAGTCAGAGTTGAAGTCTTGGAGCTGGGTGAAGCTAGTTGACAAGCAGTCGACGAGAGAAAGATGATAGGCAGTAAGAGTGAAAGCGACCGCTTGCTGCTGTAATAAGGGAGGAAGTGAACTCAAGTTATCTGCAATATTGGCGCAATACTGTCACTGAACCCTTCTTATATCCTGACAGTGACATAATTATGGCAACTACTAAGAACAAAAAGGATGAACCCGAAAACTACTTCTCTTCTTTCAGAATTATTTACAATATTTGTTTTTTTTTTTTTCTGGACTTTATTTCATGTACACTACTTTTTTTTTTTTGTAAAAGAAGCATTATTCTTTTTGTAACAATTTCTTCCTTATGTATATATATATATATATATATATATACACAAACTTTTCTTTGGACTCGAATCGACTTGTTCATATTTGATTGTTTTTCTACTTGGTCCGATTCTCGCCCCAACAAACTTGCAGGTAGACCAGCTGAATCATCCAGGATCTACGATTTGTAAATTGCTTTCCAGGATAAAAAAAAAAAAAAAAAGAAATCACAACGGAAAATGGAATCGAATCGACATTGTGAACCGGAGACTTTGATTGAACCTGTAATACTGGACCAAGACAGGACCAACGGTTGGTCTTGTAGAGTACATCGATCCAGTGGGGTTAGGATAGATTTTACTGTTACAAAACATCAGGCTATCAATAAATTACTCAAGACGTCGGAAACTTTGTTAAAATGTTCTCTGCAAAATTTTAAACAAAAATACGTAATATTTGTTTCAATTATGATTAAACTTTAAGTCAGATAATTTTTCCCAAATAACGTTTCAGAAATATATATAATATTATATTTTTGGATAAGTTTTAAGAAAGAGGGTTATTTTGTGTGGATAGATCTGTCAATATGGACAAATTTATGGATTTTACTAATAAGAGGAGGAAAAAATTTCCAATCAATTTACATTCGGTTTGAAATACACGAAAGTGTTTTAATTATTTAGAATATTTAAATTTAATCTGTTTGAAATTAAAACTACAATTAAAGCTCCCGGAAAGATTTTCCATTGTTTTAAAATGAATTTTGAACTTAAGTATGTTTTTCTAAGTACGTAATATATTTATTTATGGATAATATCTACCTTCTTCTGAACTACTGAATTGCTTCATCCCAAAGGATCGAAAAATGATATGTTGATATTCGTACTACTCATCGTTTTATCAGACACTCCTGTTTCGCGCTCTCCGTTTGATAGACTGAAGGATGGTGGTGAAAAATGTCGTATCTCTTGTCACACTACACTTAGCATTGTACATAATACATTTTATCTACTTGTTTCGAATCTGATTACATTTGCTATCGTATTTGTTATATATCTTATACTTGCTATGATAACCGCCTGCGCAATGAGAAGAATGTCGAGTAATTTTAAAGAACAGGAAAGTAGAGACGCCAGTTTCCTTTAGGAAGAAGAGAAAAAAAGACAACATACACACACATTAAGTCTAGTCGCTAACAGAAAATGTCAGTTTACGAGTCAATCGTAAATTTAAGCTCTGATATCTTCATCCGGACATATCAGAAATTTACCCCTTCTAATTGGACCAGAATTACACTACTTGATAAGATATTTAAACAGGAGGATTGAAGCGGCCAGTGAATTAAGTAATAAATGGTGTTAAATCCTATTTGCGATCTAACCCCATTTATGGTTCGAGTGTATAAAGATTTTATTCCCTACCAAATCCAAGTTCTTGTGCTAGACACAAAAACAGTCTAGTAGGAAGAGTAAAGCATAATAGGCGCAAAATTACAAAAGATAACCTCCGCGTAAAATTTTAAAAAAGAAAAACATTTACACAATTACGAAAAAAAAAGTACAAAATACAAAGTTTTTATTAACAATTCATTTTGTGCGCCTATTAAAGCAGGCTAACAATTTCAGCTAGAAAGGATTACCATCGGAAAATGGAAAAAAATTATAGTTTGGGAAAAGACAAGGATTTTGAAAATGACAAAGAGAAAACAATTCAAGTAGGCATTAAAAAAACAAAAACAAAGGTGCAACATCCTTTGAGAGGAAAAAAACAACAAACAAACAAAAAAACGTAAAGACCTACTTTCACTTGCCCTACGAGCGTCTATGGTGGGGGTGCACAGTAATTTTTTAAAAGTCACTTTTAACTTCATACAGTTCGTGCTTGGTAAAACTTCTTAGAATTCTTTGTTTTTTAGCTGTCCAACCACAGGAGAATTTTCACTTGAACTGCAAACTTCTTTCGTCTCTCTGCAGTTGGCCGGTAACTGGTGACTTGCCTACTTTGAAGTTGACCTGCCTTGTCCACTTTGCTCTCAAAAAGTTTTCTCATCTACTAAAAAGTTTTCGCCTCTACTCTATTCAGAAAATTAGGCCCCACTATTCAGGATGTTAAAGAGCTTGGTCAGTATATACGAAAATTTTTTTTCCATAAACTGGAAATGGATCCTTCAAATTTTGGCCGGTTTTAACTGCTGAGCCGAAAAAGATATACAATTGTAAATTGTAACATTTTTTTAACACAAACGGTCTGGTTTTCATAACGATACGCGTTCTTTTGAAAGTATGTATGTATATCCCTAACCTCATTCGCTTCACCTCTACAAAACTGACCTTATCAACAAGTGAGGATCTGGTTTTCGACGAATCGATGCAATTAAAGAGCCAATTAATTGATTGCAGATTTCGATAATACTTCAGTGCTATTGTCAATATAAGTAAACTGGCAAAGTGACAGAGAGGCTTTTTTAGTATTGAACATTACAAGAGGCACGTCATAGCCATATTGTAACCACCGATACGTAAATGAATAGGGAGAAGTGTAACAAGCCTACACAATATCCGCTAAATAAAGATTTTAAAGTAAACAAGAACAAGTTCTCCCTCTCTCCTGAGGTTTTATGACAACTGAATTTCATAGGCATTTGCTTGTCTGAAGATTCGATGAAACTTACTAATATTTAAGTGAAAATCTGGCCACTAATATTG